TGCTTTTAATGAGTTAAATGCAAGAATACTTGCTTTCACCTTAAGTTTGATAAGGTTAACACTGATCAGTCTAGGTCTTTGTTTCAGAAGAACATGCATGGGAGAAAAGACCAACCTGAAATGATATTTTCATGAGATGCAGCTACAAGTCATCTGAAGTACTAAAGAAAAACAGGTTTTTGCATCAGGAAAACATAGTATTTGTCAAAGTGAGTGTGGTGGTTATGCCACTTACAGAGGTCAGCATCTCTCTTCTGGATTCATGTGTGATTCTGATGAAATCGCTGTTTGAAAGTAATAGAGTAATACTTTTGAGAAGTTGTGTTCATAGTGTAACAAAATAGCTAATTGAATTGCAATATATTTTTTTATCCAAAGGGTTAAATGAATGATGTGACTTACAGATTTAAAAGCATTACAACCATGAAATTCTTTAATTTAACAATTAAATGTACTATCTCAGATTCATGTCTGTTTAAAAAAAAAAAATGTCACTGAAGCCCTCAATTTATGCACTATCTTTTTCTTGGAATGGGAGAAGAAAAAAATTCTTTTCTTAGCTGTCTACTTTGTTTGGACACTTTCTTTTGTGGCTCAAGTGCTGTTTTGTGTGTTGGGACCAAACAGTTGTGTCAATAAAATTTTCAAGCAAGCATAACTCTTGTCTTTGTCTGAAGCCCTGAAAAAACTGTCCTAAAATCATTAACTTGCTGTGTCACATTAAGTTTAATTATCCACACAGAACGGAGCTAAAATTTGGGATTTAGTGAAGATAAAAGAAACGTTAAATCCATGGTTTGCTGGATATACCCTATGCTGGAGAATGAAAATTTTCTGAGTTTTTGCAATTGAGCTGTTAGCAGATACACTCAGTATCTCTAACTGCTCTTAATACAACATAATGTTTAGGGTTTATTTTAGAAGGAAACTGTACTATTTATCCACCTAAAGAGAAAAATAGAGAAAGGAATATAAATGCAACAGGTAGAAGTAAGGTGTTCCTCCAGAGTTTTTATGTCACTTTGAAATGTTAAAATTTATGTGAATGTCATATGAAGTATTACTATGCAATAAAGTTAACAAGTCACTTTTGAGTAATAATAGCTTTGTTTTCCAGCTTGTTGAAGATAGTAATTATCCAGGAACTATGTCTGGCAAGCAAGTTACTTGGCAGCTTCACTAGAGTGCTTTGAACATTACTCCAGATCTAACAAAATAATTTTTAAAAATCTGCAACTAAATTGGACTGTTCTGTCATCTCTCAGCTTTAGGGACAAAAGCAAAGTCAGGAGCAACCCATCCAGCTCTTTTTTTTTTTTTTTTTTTTGGTCTTACTATATATTCTCACTTAATGGAACTGTTAGTGGAACAGCCTGCGAGAGGAAGTGTAAGGCCTGGCCTGCTGCAGGTAAATGTTCCCTTGATTTTGCAGAGTATTTGCTTGTTCAGTAAACAATTTTAAAGTAACTACCTAAACTTATTTAGCAGGAAATTCTCCATAAATTATGTAAATACCACTCTGTAAATGGAGGGGCAGGCAGTTTATAAGAACGTTCTATAACATCTTAAGCAATACCACAAACTGTATAATCACCACTCTGAAACTTCCGTCTTTCAGTAGTGGTGAATGTATTAAGTGTGCATGAGCAAAATCCCTTGTACCACCTGGTATGTGATTACCTTCAAAAGGAGAGTTTGATTTTAATAGTTCATTTGTTATCATGCTGCAAACATTCCCACTTCTTTCATTCTCATTTTATTTTAAGCCGTATGTTTAAATTAGTAAAAATTTTTTTAAAGTCATGATGGAAACAACTTGATGTGTTTTTTCCTGAAGTTAATATGGCTTGTTTTGTGTGCCACAATGTAACAGGACAGAATGTAATTGCATGGTGAACTATGGTTTAACTCCTATTTCCATTAACTGTGACTTAAAAAAAAAAAAAAGAACAAGGAGAGACTTGGGTATAATGCCAGAGAAAGGGATTAGGGAAATGACTTAATTAGTTGATGTTTCAGGTGTAATGTGGAATATTGCTGATAAGAAGTATGACTGTCTACAAGTACAGAACATAAGGCAGTTTCCTAACCTTTGAAGCATCTGAACAGAGGAGCTGACAAAAGCCTTTTCCTTTAGACAAAGCAAAGCTTTTGGGTGTGAAAGAGTAAGTAATCTTTCCATAAAATAAGCTGAGGACTTTGTCTAAGAAATAGATTTTATTTGGGTTTTTCCTGTTTTGGTGAACAGCCACTGACAGTGCTGTGTTTGTTTTCTCTAAGCATTTAAACATCTGGCTGCAAGTAGTGACAAGCTTAACAGAAGAAGCCTGACTGCTGGCTGCACTTAAAGGGAGAGTCATTAGAGGTGCAGATTTGTGCATTTGAAGTCATCTCAAATTTAAGCTCAAGCTACTAGAACAGGAGTCTTAAGTGATGACTGAAGGCTGTTACTAACAGACTTGGGATAAAGAGATTAGTGTGGATATTATGCAGTGAGACCAAAGCACCCTGTCAGCCTGTAGGTAAGTAATTTAACTTTACCTGAAGAGTAGGATAAACATTTAATCTGTGGAGGGACTTCAGAGAAAAACAATCAAGTTGTGCAAAGAGAGGGAGAGGAACAGTTCATATAATGGTCCTGTAACCAGAGGTTGGTTTCACGTTTTCTGTTGTGTTTTTTAAAGGTGTAGGAGGGGAATCTGAGGGTGGAATATGACAATTGTGTGGAAACTTCCAGGGTGCTCTCAAAGGAGAGTGAGCTAGGATAAAATAATCATAAGTGGACTAAAGGAGGAATAGGAAAACTTCCTGAAAATGCTATCTCTGAAAGCTTGGGGTCTGTATCTTGAAGGATCCATATCCTGCCAGACTTTCAAGAAAGTCTGAGGCTGTAACCTGTTGCCCAGGCTGTCTGGCTCCAAGTCTGGATACTGAGGTGTTCTCAGTGTCCTGTGTGAAGTGTTGTATCCACATGGAAGGAAGAGTAAGTTTTAGACATTAAAGTAATGGTTTTATGATACAATTCTGTTCCAAAACAGCCTGCTTGGCTGGCTGTTTACAGGATTTTGATGGGATTGTGTGGAACAAGATGCGCCTTGGGCAGCACAGGACTATTCATTTAAGTAACATGTGACTACTCTGGAGAGTAGTTTGGACTTCAAGCTGTTTGGGAATACCTGCTGGGTCTGGAATAGGAAACAGAGCTGCCCTTTCTTCAAGGACAAAAGAGAAGAAACTTGCTTTGCTTTTCTTCAGCCTGCTGCTGTAAATGTGAGAGTTTGTGGTGACCTGCTGGCACTTGATTTGTCACATGTTGACATTACAATGGAAAATTTCTGGTTGCTCCAACATATACAGTTTTAGGCAGGAGCAAACAGCACAGAGCAACTTGGTTTATTTGCATGTCTTGGAAGACTCTATACTATAAAATACATATTCTCTGGGTTGTTGTTTGTGTAACTGAGTTTGTGGTAGTCTTCCTACTGTAAGAGAAATGTCACATTTATTGGAAAAAATCTGAACTCAATTCCTCCAAATTCTTTTCTAGTAAAAATATTCTCTTTCATGACTAGCAATGTTTTCTGTGGTAGTTGTTTACCAGTGAGTCTAATTAGGGGATTCTCTTGTTCATTCTCAACTCTTAACTGTAAAAAGTCTGAGATCTCTTCAGTTTTGGAACCAGTAGTGAAACTCTTAATTTCCAAGAGCTGCCTTTGAAATGCTAGTAAAGATTTTAACTGCTTCAGAGGCAGGGGAGTATGGCTAAGGATACGGGTTGAACGTGTATTCTATACAAGATGTATAGAATACACTCATACTCATCATTTGGGGTAATTGATATCAGTCTGCTGTAAATGTTTTAGTACCAAGTGGTGTGGTTTGAGATCAAGCTGAGCAGAATATTAGGAAAACGGTTTGCTTTAACCATCTGTTTAAACAAAACAAAAGCATCTTTTACGTCTGTGTAGGAAGCAAAGCCTGAATCATGCATGAACTTATGGTCACCAGCCACACAGCTGAAAGCCTGCCCTAGTTACCTTCTGCAGCCCCACATTTCAGCTTGCAGTCAAATGCAACTTAATATTACTTTTTAGGTAAAATGATATTCTATTCTTTCTGGAAGATGGAGGCGGGGGGTGGGAGAGTCTGCTTATGAAAGTAGTTGTTCACTCTGGTTAACCTTGTTGCGGTTAACAAGACATTGGTGACTTGTTACCAGAGTAACAAGTTCCTCAGTTGGCTGCAGGGTTATGTTTAAAGCTTTCTGTTGAGCTGAATTACTTTATTCTGGGAGATGGAGGAGGAAAGAAACTTGCCTTCCAACCTTCTTCTTCTGAGGATATGATACCATTGCTGTTGGATATTCCTTAGTTGGCTCTCAGCACCAAAACTCTTGGTTTCATTGTATGTGATTCCCACAGGAGGAAGGTTGGGGCAATGACAGCAAAGCAGCAGCATGAGATCCACCCACAAATGTGCTCGGTTCCATCTCGTTCCCTGTCTCTGGTCCCCGAGATCTCCAGAGCCCTACACACCAGGTAGCGTCTGTAAAATCACTCTGGTGAGCCGACCAGTGCTAGGGTTTTTTTTTGTAGGTTTTTTTTTTGGTTTTTTTAATTGCTGTTAAGCCCTTCTGGCTTGGCAATGGTTTTGATACTCAAATATGTTGGGACCTTTATCTTCTCAATGTAGGACTAGGAACTGTCTTCTAATCTGTACAGTGCTCTGGGCTGTAGTGAGGTTTCAAAGTCATCTCAGAGCATAATGAGATTGGAATTTTTTTTTTGGTGTGTTTTGTTTGTGGAGTGTCATTGGAGAAACTGTTTGTTTTTTCAGTGAGATAAAATCCTTTATTTTAGTAGCATCACTAACTTATCAAACTATTCCTTTCTTGCAGAAGAATAATCCTACTCTTTTGGGGAAGTATAATGGTGCACTAAGCACATCCAACTCTACTCCACAACCCCTGATTTCCTTCAGTAACGGGAAGAAACATATGCTTAATATAACACAGCAGCTTAGTTTATTTGGAAATACGTTTAACTTTGCTGAAGAGATTCATTTGACCTAGGGGAAGGTACAAGAGAACCACTTGCTGGTAGAAATGGTGATTAGTACAAATAGCACTTCAGCACTTTTGTTCTCAGTAGACCAAGATCCTTTTGTGAATATAGCCATGGTTACCAGTTCACAGAGGAAATAGTGTGTCAAATCCACCTTATGTTTTCTTCATTTTCTGATGCCTTGCCTTCTTTCTGAAGTGATAAACAGCCAGGATTTCCAAAAGAGATTTTGGGTGCTTCAGTCAACTGATATCCTTCTTTGCTGACAGTAACAGATAAGCAAAAATCAGCTTTGAAATGATTACTTGAAGTAGCCACCTAAAGATTTTTACATATGGGGACTGCATAATGTGCATCGTTGGCAAGATCATGGAAGTTAAAGCCCCTCACTAAAGCCAAGTCCCTTTGGGGCACTGGCTACCAGTGCTAACTGTGTGTCAGTATTACGCATTCATACTTGCTGTGTCTTTCTCCATTTTAATTAAAGGAGGGGGCTCTGTAGCCTAGTCATGAGTGTCACATCCCAGAAATGTCTAGCACCATTTCCTGTTATTGAAATTTTTTTCATGCAAATGGATTCTACTGATTTCACTATTCTTCCCAAGGGACTAGAGATTTGTGCAGCATGTGGGGATCCTCCCGATCATCAGTACAGCCTGGTTTAAACACTAATGCACACAAGTCACTTCTTGCCTTACAAAAACGGTGTGCAAAGTCCTTCAGAACCCTTTACTTACCAGCATTCACAGCACTTGGTTGTAACAGCTGATCCTCCTAAGGCTTTAAGTTTGATGCTTCACTACAGGTTTTTTTTCTTCCATTTGTCTTTAGTGGCATCCAACATCTGCCTCCTACCTTAAAATACTGATAATTGCTGATGTCTTAATTGTGTACCGGCAAATTCAAGAGCCTCCTGAACTTTACAGAAGCCAGGGGGTAATTCTTGCCCTCCAGTGTGTGTTCTCCCTTAACAGCAGTTTTCCCTGTAACTCTGTTAAATGTACACAGGTGCCCACAGAGCCCAACCCCTATCAGATACAGGAGATATTAACAGCTACAGAGCTTAATGTGATGTTGTCTATATCAACAAGAATGCAATAATTGTATATGACTATTCATGTTTTGTCCTCTTTCCCATGTCTTTGGTCAAAGTAATTAAAGTGCTTCAAGTCTTAGTGGAAACCTTTTTGTGTTTTTCCCTCCTTGATCCATAAACCTTAAGGAACATAGTGACATAGGTTCTTTCTCTCAAGTGAGTGTGCAATACTGAAACATATGGTTCTGGAAATGCAAAGGTTCTTCATTGAATCAGTCTAATGCTAGGGATTAGGTTCTATTTGTACAAGAATAGTCTGAGTTACTTTAGTTGGTGTCTATCTCCTTGAACCTTAATAAGATACTTTCTATAAAAAATATTACTGTTCATCCTTTTTCGGTAACTGCTGTTTGTTTTCTCCTTTCCTGTAACTGTGGTTCCTTTGTATATAAGAGCACACTTCACTTAGCTGGCTTCACAAAATGGAAGTTCCTCTTGAAAAAATTTCATTTTAGGAACTCTTTGCTATCTGTTTGTTACTTCTAAGCCTGAGATTTTCACATTAGATCCATGTACATTTATTTTACTATTTACACCTATCACAGTACATTTATATGGAATACCATCACACAGACAAACCAGCTACTGACAGCTAATATAAAGATATTAGATTCCACAAGGCTTAATCTGCATAGAGACCAGAAACACATTTAATGGTGAAACACAGATAAGTCTTTCTGTATTTCCCTTAATTTTAAATCCATTTTGTGTAGAATGTGATCTTCCTACCACAAATACTTACTTCTATGTTTGTCTTATAGTCAATTTGTCTTGGGTCGCTTCTGTCTTCCTATGCTTGAGAGCTTATATTTCTTATGGTCATGAAATATGCAATTAATAGTTGTTTTAAGCATTGTTTAAATATTAAATTGTCTTCCACTCTCCTTCCAGTAACCTCCAGTGATAGGTAATCTCATAGTGCATGTAACTTCTAATAGTGGAGAAAACTCTCTGGGTGCATATTTCTCTGACTCCATGTGAAGTGGAGATCTAAAGAGAAGTGACACAGCCTTGGACTGCATCATCTATTTGAGGATCACTGTAGTTGTGCTTGCTAAAGCTTTAACAGAGACTTACTTTCCCTGGTGCAAGCAATATCCATTTGACTTGAGTAATTAAGAAATCATACGGGATATAAAAATCTACATTTACTTGCAGCATCCTTGTCACTGATCCTCACTCTTTAGGAAGAATTGGAAGTGAAACTCCACAGCAAAGTAGTTGAACATCACACTAGTTTGCTAAGTATTTTGTATGCAACATCAGTAATCCTAAAGTTGCTTCATCTATCAGTTGCATTATATACAGCATTGCTACTTGTTCCTTTTGTTTGGAAAAGTAGCCAAAATGGGATATTTCAGCAAATTTTGAGTGCTGTTTGTCAAGAGGGGGAAAGTGTACAACAAATTCTTACAAAGTGATGGCATATTAAAATTGCTGTTTTACACCTTACTGGATGAAATAAACCCTCTTTTCATTCACTTTTATCACTGTGGTGTTTTTGTTGACTCTAGTACAGATCTTTTCTGGTCACTGGACAGCCACTATATAGATTTCTTTTGGTTTTAGGCATGCGTGTTGAGTGATCCATGCAACAGTGAAGAACCTGCCATTGTACATTCCATATATTACTGTTGTACCAGTTGCTCTTGACTCCATTAGCAGGATGCAGTTAGTTCCCCTCACCCTACAGTTTCATTCAATGAAAACATTTGAAAAGACAAACATGGTAAAGAGCCCAGAGCTACATGATGTTGCATTGTGTGGCCCCACAACAATCTTTAATAATGGCCAATCCTGCTTTGGCAATGGTGGGCTTGCTTGGAGGAGGTTCTGCCTTCTTTTCTGCTGGGCTGCCTGCAATGTTCAAAACAGGACACCATTAAAATCAAGAGCTGGTAAAAAGATTTCTCCATATTCTAGCTTAAATAATGTAAGCCTTTCCTGCACACATCCACCCCACCCTGAATTTTTTAACTCTTGTTTGAACAAAACATCTAACACTTCGGTAGTAACCAATCTGGTATGTGGATTCAAATTGCTCAGGAAGTCTTATCTCTTCAGAGGAGGAAGTTAAGAGGAGGTAACGAATGCAGACATCTCAATGGGAAGGCAAACTGCTTGCATGTTGTTAATCCAGCTGTCCCTGTTCACAGCCATAGGGTCAGATAATACAACCTTCCATGGAAAGTTATCTTGCTGTGTTTTAAACTGGCTGCAAAATGGCAGTGTGTTTGGATATAAACCTCTTCAGCTGGTGTGGACCAAATTAACTTTCTAAGAAGGACACTTCTCCCTTGATTATCTCCCTGCCAAAGAGCTCAGTTTCAGACAGGTCAAAATCAACCTGTTAACTTTTAAAGGTCATGCTGTGACTGTTTTGTTTGAAAGCTGCAGCTAAAAGCTTCCAAGGGATCATGTAATCCACTTACTTTCTGAGAAATTACTGTTTGCCGTTCTGTTGAAGTGATTTGGGTTGAGGTGATTGAAAAATCTATTTATGCTGGTAAGATGTAAGGAAATTGGGGGCAGCTGTGGAAGTTTATGGTCCTTTCTCTAGTTTCCATCTTGCCTGCAGTAAAATGGGCAAACTGTGCTTCAGATATCCTAATATATATCTTAAGAGGGGTTTTTTTCCAGTTATTTTTGCAGAACGAGATGAGAAAATGATTGGCAAAGACAGATCTAGTTGCTTACTAAAGCAAGTTGTGACAATTTGCATTCAGACATACTTTGGATATTTAAAGCATACAAAACAAATTTGAAGTGGCCATAGATGACTTGGATTCAGTTTTAAGAGGGAACTGGGCATCTGAATTCTAAGTGGGCAGCAACTGCTGACACTTTACATTGTTTCAGGGTGATCTATCTATGTTAACCTAGCTTTTGGCAGAGGCTGGCCCAGCATGGCTTTTGAAAATGCTCTTTTATCTAGTTAACTTTGGATTTTTTTTCTTTTGTTGTTGTTTTTCTTAATGTTTAGGAACTCACTGGTAGGAGATTGTGTTGCCTTGTCTAAGGGTTTTAACTTGGTGCGAAGGAATTCAGCCATCTCTTTGTCTTCTTCCTTCTCTCTGGTGGGGGAAAAAAAAGAAATCTGTTACAGAAATAATCTTTTTTCTGTAAATGGGACAATAAAAGCTGGAGTAGTTAGGATCAAATCACTAGTAAAAAAACCCACTACTTTTTAAAAAACACTAATTAAAGAGCAAAATATTTGTCTAAATGAAAGCAGTAACAAACTTGTAGAATTCAGAGACAATTTTCCCCAAGGTTCTTTACTTGTCTCAGGGTTGGATTCATTATATTCTCTAGTCACTGGATTTAAAACATAATGTATTACCTATTTTAAGATTATGGCCTGAAGTGCTTCATGATGCTTCCTCTACAAAGTAAAGCAGAGAATATATATTGGTGTGATCGTACTGCTGATTTTTAAAGGTCTACTAAGACAAAAAATTGGATCTCATGGTCTCCTGCTGATAGTGTTTACCAAAGCCAAGTATATTTCTCTTTGCCTGAAGATAACACCATTAGGCCCAAAATAAAAAGATCGTGTTGCTATAATCTTGATTATATCTATTAATGATATTTTCATGTTGGTTTCTTTGCTATTTTGTTACTTAAATATTAACAATGAATGCACTGATTAGGTATCTTGGTTTAGAAGAAAAGCAGATTTCATTGTCCAGAGTTTTAAAGTAAATTCACATTTACTCCAAATGTGAATTGAGACTAAGGTATTCACATCTGCATAGCATGTAGCAGTGCATTTTCAGTAGCCTACAATTAGGCTTCTGTATTGTCTGGCTGTTGCTGAGGCTTCTGCGATTTGCACGAGGAAGGAGCAGTGGAGAGTATCTGGATTGTGACCAGCTCAGGCCTCTTGTCAGCTGCTGACTTTGGCCAGCTCTCTCTGATCAGCTGCAGGACCCTGGCAAGCTTTCTTCTCTCCTGTCCTTTGCTTGCTTAGAATTTGAATGTGTTGGAAGAGATATTGTCGTTTAGGATAAATGAATTGATGAGCCTTAAATCTTTACTGTTGAAAGAGGAAGTAATAGCAAAGCTCTGACTACTTGTAGAGTGTTGGGATCTCAGTGTAGCAGCTGGAAATGAACTTTTGAGGAAGACCAGAGCTTTTTCAGCAATTTTGGGCTAAGATACTGAGGTGAAACCACTCTGAACTTGCTTATGCTTTAGATTAGGTAGACCTCTGTTAGTGATTGCGTTCTCTGGAGGTGTGGGGTTTTTTTTTTGCTATGGCAGGGTGAGAACAGTAATAATAAAACCTAGCCACATTATTTTTTATAAAAAAGGGAGATTTTTAGATGCCTACAAATATAGCCCCTGTAGAACTCCATTCCATTTCATGTCTACTTCTTATGCCAAGACAATCCTCTGGTAGCAACAAATATTCTTCTCTTTCTAATTGTAAATGCCCAGACACTTTCTGGTAGGAAAGTAAGACACCAAACCCTGCTGTAGTCGTAAGATGACTGAATCATTGAAGGGAAATGAACTGAATCCTATGAAACCAGGATGAGGATTTTACCTTGGTAAGTTGCTTTAAAGGACCAATTATCTCATATTAGTGTCAATGTAAATTTTGTCACTCTCTCCAGCGTAGCATTAGACTTGTGAAATCTCACAAATAAGTTCAGTTGCTTTTAGTTCTTACCGTAGTCTCTCCACCTCTGCATCATCTACAAGAAAATCTCTTTTTTGTACCAGTCTATGGATCTTCTGAATCAATTCATCCTCTCTTTGTTTCTCCATCTTTGTTTTTTCTTTTTCTGGTCAAAAACAGAGAAAAGAGTCTATTACTTTGTATTCTAGAGAGTGGGGTGGGGTGTGCGTGTGTGTGTGGACATTGCAGATACCTAAGAATGAATTGCTGATTTGAAGTTAATGGTTTTTCAGACCTGAGTCACCAAAACCCCAGCAAGTTCTGGTCACTGCCTCTTTTCTTTTCCACTTGCTGGTGTCATCAGATCAGCTTAATGGTCTGGAGACTCTGTGGGGCTTGTCACGCCTATTTTTAATATTAAATTACTCTGCAAGACACTGCTTTAAATTTTTTAAAGAGCTTTGGTAGGAACACAGTCCAGGCTTCATTAAAAAAACATGGTACAAATTCCCTTTGACCTCAGGGGAAACGAGACCACACCAAAAGGACCATTTCTCTCTACTTCATGACATCTTTGGCTGTTGACTACAACAGGCTTTTTTCTACACTGGTCAGGCAAGCAAGCTGCAAATCCACACAAATAGCATCAAGTGTAAAATGTGGAAAAAATATGGAAGTGTTTATTTTCCCTGTGCTTCAAAAAAATCTGAGTAATTACTATATATCCTTGCTAATTGGCTAGTCTGTAATGTCTAGGTTATTTATAAACAACTATTTTTGTGACATGACAGATGTGCCTGTTGCAAACTAAAACTCATGAATGTTAGAGAGCTGTAGTTTAAGGTTATAAAGCAAATGTAGTTAAGACAGAAATATTCAAACCTAGCAAGTGCAGCAGAGATGAGAAAGGCAGAGGCAAATCCCAGCCCACCTCTTTCTTCAAGAAGCTGAAAATTTTGATTAGCTGAGAAGGCACAGCATTATGTAAGAATTTAGGTTTTGAGCAGTAGAACCATAAAATTAAATATAATAAGAGTTGCGGGAAGAAGGGCAAGCTGCCTGCAGTCTGATGCTTCTGAGCTATGTTATGTCTGCTGGTTGAATTTATAAGATATTTTAAATAGCTAAATAAATCAGACATTTGAAAATTATCGTTTAATGCAGCTTAATTTTGGATCATGGGATTGAGGATGCTTACTGCTGGGAACTTCTGCAATAAATCCCTTCCTTACATAAAAACACATTGAATACATTTTCAAGACAATGAAATTCTGTAAGTCTTAATTTCAGAACATCATACTCCTTGGAGAATTTTGAATTATGGTCTGCCAATAGCAGAAGAAATAATTTGCAATATAACATAAGGCTGCTTTGTCTGGGATGTATTTTCTGTGTTATATCTTTTAAAAATGATAAAGGAAGGTGGTTATTGACTGCTATGAAGATTTCAAGACCTCTACATTGTTACCTATGGAGAATTCCCATGTTTAATGCTGAATTTGTAGCAGAGAAAAAAGAAGAATGCTTAGAAATCATTGCTTTTTCTTGCTTTGCCTCTTGTGTCTATGGAGCAAGGGATCTCCTCCTCCCACTACTGAAGGGAGAAGCTACTTTCTACTTCCTCCCAATCTATCCCCTTCCCAGATTGAGATGTTCTCTCCCACGATATCCTTCAGGAAACTGCCTGCCAAATATATGCATCCTGAATTGTAGCAGAGTACTGCGTATTCTGTGTGCTAAAAGACTGATCTCATGTCTACTGAAATTGGCTGAACTGTGTCTACTGAAACCATAGAGCAGGGGGGTCTCTATATAAATCTGTATTCTAACAGCAAAATCACTATAAAGATAATATGAATGAACCCATTTCTGGAAAGTGTTTTCTAGGTTAGGGACATGCTGTGTCAGCACTTAGTTCTGTGTGAAAGCCAGCAGCTCCTTTGTCTTCGTTAAGACATAAGTATTTTTGTAAGTCTGCCAAAAGGTGGTGCTGCTGGAACTGTGCACACTTAATTCTTAAGTTTGCTGAGATTTGCAAGTGCTAAGGAGAAACCACTCTCTGTGGATTTCTGCTTAAGACTGTGTGACTGGAAAATAGTTTCTAAAAGGTTAAAAAAAAAAAAAAAGCCCACCAAAAAAATGAAAACCGGTCAACCCTAAGTTAAAAGTATGGGTAGGAAAGCTGCAGACTAGAAGTGAGGCAAGGCAAATCATTCATAGATATTTTGTAAGATTCATAATCCTTTCCAACACCATTTAAACCAATAATATACCAACAGTGCTATTAGAAATTAAAAATGTGACCTACTAAGTATAAAAGAAAAAGTAAGAAAGATTATGAATCCACTTTTGTTGGGTGCCAAGTGAAAACGTTTTTGTACAACTAAGAACATGTGGCCTCAGAGTAGATCCCTGATTCCTATTTAATGAGTGACCTTCTCCTTTCTGGGGAGAAAGTTGTTCTTTAAAGCTGCACAATGAAATGTGAGGGAAAAGATGAGGATAACCAAAAGAGAGTCAAAATTTGTCTGTAATAGGCAGCAGCAAATTATTTCTGAAGGGTTCTAGAGGCTATGCAGTAATATCTAGTGTAAATGGCCCACTGCAGTTGCTGAGTTTTTTGTAGGATCTGTCTGTACTTTTTTCTTGAGCAGATTAGGGCTGTTCTGGATGATCTAAAATAGCAAAGCTGTAGTGAAGTGAAATTTCTCACTGATTTCAGGTGGAATTCGGAGTTAAGGACTGCAAAGCTGCCCACAAGTGTTCCACCTCAGAGCAGTGAATTTGCAAAGAATTAAGGCAAAATACAAAGCAAAAGTTTGCCTCTTGCTTTTTGTAGAAACCCATTTTACTTTATTCTATAAGGTAGATTTAACTACAGGCATAACAATGAATTGTTGTATCTAGGAAAAAACCAATCACGTTCAGTGATGGTTATAAATCCTTCTCCTTTCTCCCTTTTATCTTGGGTATCTCAGCACTCTGTCTTTTCTACTTGACAATCTCTGTGCCACTTGCTTCCCTTGAGATTGCCAAGGGATTGCAAGAACTAAGGAATGTGCACCTTGTTTGAGTGATATTTGCAGGGTTGCTGCCAAGGGAGCAGTGAAATACAGCATGAAAAGAAATTGAGAGACCAGGAGAATAAAGATGGGAAGAACAAATAAGGACTAGAGGGAAGATATATGAAACTCAAGCTTGGGGGGAAATTTCTGATTGTTCCTGACACCATCCCCACCTGTGCATCACCCAAGCATTATTCCAATATTGAGCTGGAGATAGTCATTACCTGGGATTGCTACCAAACTCTGCAGCTCCTTCTTAAGGTTCATAATGTCTTTGCACAGCTGGATATCATCCATCCTGCAGAAACAAAAAAAAGCATGGTCAGAGACATGCAAACTCCATCCTGTGCTGATGGAATCAGCTAGATCTCATCTTGAATAATGATACTGCCCCTTGCCTGGGACCTGTGCATCAGCTTGAAATGCCAATGTTTATTTAACCTTGGGTTACTGTTCATTCACCAATACTAACAGCAAAAGGTATTTCATAATAAATGCCTGTTAAGCCCTTGATTACTTGTCTTACTGCAATCTAATTTGTGTGTAGGTCATATCTGTCACTAGAGATTATTTCAGATGCCTTTTGCTTTCTTGAATGTCACAGAACATTCTGAAACAGGCATCTGTATATTTAGAAGTCATGAAAAAGACAAGACAGCCTGGAGAAGAGAAGGCTCCAGAGCGACCTTATAATGGCCTTCCAGTGCCTGAAGGGGGCCTACAGGAGAGATGGGGAGGGACTCTTTATCAGGAAATGTAGTGATAGGACAAGGGGTAATGGTTTTAAATTGAAAGAGGGGAGATTTAGATTAGATATCAGGAAGAAATTCTTTCCTCTGAGGGCAGTGAGACACTGGAACAGGTTGCCCAGAGAAGTTGTGGATGCCCCATCCCTGGAGGTGTCCAAGGCCAGGCTGGATGGGGCTTTGAGCAACCAGCTCTAGTGGGAGCTGTCCCTGCTCATGGCAGTAGGGTTGGAACTCGATGATCTTTAAGGCACCTTCCAACTCTTAACGATTCGATGATTCTATACATACGGCAGCAACAGTTTTCACAAGGGAAAATAACAGGGAGCCTGGGAAGGGGCAGCAGAGCCATTATTTGGCATATACATTACTTGGCACAGCTAAGCAAAGGTTTATGTTACGCTATGAACTTTCTTTGTGCCCTTATTAATAACTTAATCCTGATAACAAAGATCTAGAAACTCTTGTAATTTGGCATCTAACTATTTTGAGGTCCTGTGCCTTAGGTGGGTGTTTTCCATGGTTGACATGAGTGCTTCAAATCCTTGATGTGTGCAGAAAGTCCATTAATGTTAAGACACAGAAGACAGTTTTTAAAAATCTGTAACTTTAGCAGAAACTGCACTTTCAGTTCTTATTGAAACTGCTACCTATCCCGAGAGCTGCTATACTGAATTATTCCCCTGGAAGCTAGCAAACTTCAGCATTAGTTTCCTGGCAAATGTTTTATTTTAGTGTCTTGGCCATGTTGGCAGCCAAGGCTCAGGTGTTGGTTCTGAGGGCTGCATCAAGGGCTTCCATTTTGAAATCACACCCTAGGGAATAAAAAAAGCAGCCTTTGTGAGTAATTGTACATTCTTCAACTCAGATGTCACCAACACTATCCTTATCCACAGATCTCAGTCCTTGTTTCATAATCTTCTGCCTGCAGGGTAGGTTGCCTGTTGCCTAAGCACCTGAAGGTAGCTGAAGTGCTATCAGAACATGGGCTGTCACAGTGGTATTTCAAGAGAGGAAACTCGAGAGCTTAGAGTGTGTGTGTATGTGATAGTGAGCGCACAAAGGATAATGCAGTCAAATTATTGAATTAAGTGAGGAGTGGAAAAAGTAGGTGTTTCTGGCACAAATAAGATTTTAATCACAACCCAAGAGCTTTTATTCTCTCTGCCGCCTCTGCATGGAACACAGGTCTCTGCAGGGAACTCTCCTTCAGCTGCTTTTCTCATGTTATTAAAGCACGTTGATCCTTTTTATTATTTGCTGCTTTGGTTAACTCCATCTTGCCTGTCCTGCTACTTTCATTGTGCTCTGACAGCTATTCCTGCTGCCTTTTTACTTCTCTCTTGCCAAAATATGACAGTGAAATACCTCTGATGATAATCTTCATTGCTCACCTCTTTTCCTTGTTTTGGTGCCACTGTCACCTCCACTGGGGATCTGCTCTCCCACCATACATCTGTCTTATAAGACTTCTATTGTGAAGATTAGCGTGCTAGCTTCAGGGTTAGTCCATTGTTCACTGCTGTATGTGTTTAGGATGCTTGGAGGCAGAGACATTTATATTGATGGTTATTCTTACTCAGGCTCCCCACATCATTCATGCTGATCACATGCAAAGCCTGCTTTAGTCTTGAGATCTATCATGCTAAATGGTACTAAAGTTACTTTTATCAATTAACAATCTTAAACGCTATCTCCTTGGGAGAATCAATATTCAAAATGTGCTGGGATGTGAGCAAGGCTCACAGCTCCTTATCCATTCAATGTTCATCCAGTTTGGGTGTCACATTAATATAATCAGCATTATTATATTTAAGGAAACTGACCATGGTTAACAAAGACACCAGTTTCTTGGCAAGAAATGTTCAACATTGAATTGCTGTATTCTAATGATACAGGTGATAATGATCCTCATCTAGTGAAGGGAACAGTGAGTTTCTATAAAAGAAATTTCCATGACATACAAAGAGAGGATATTCTTTCTTTTTCTCCTGTATCAGTAGATCTGGCTTTGTTCTAGGAAGATCTGAAAGATCCTGATAAAAATACTTCACTGCATCAGCTTGGCTCCCTGCCCTCCTCAAGGAACTCCCAAAAGCTAATGTCAATGCTTTTCTTTCAGGATTTTCAGGAATTTAAAATATCACGGGCAGTATGTTCCAAGTGAGCAAGATCAATGTTCAGTAATCCCTACACCCCTATGCTCAATTTGTGGCGAAGGCAATTCCTCCCATTATTTTGGCTCTTGTTTAATCTGACTGCAGAACATACAGCTAGCACTCTCCATATATATTCTTAGCATCTCTTTTTCCTGAGACCTAAACTTTGTTTCTGCCTTGTAAACTCACAGGAGAGAAGTAAATATGTGGCCAAGCACTTAAGGGCTGTAATAGCTCTGTGACAATCTGAATCCAAAAGTCATAAGCCAGATGACCTCTCTGGGGGTCTCTGGCCTGAATACAGGGCTACAATTGCTGTTCTCAGAAAAGGAAAGAGGAGGAATCCCTGGGAAAGAAAGCTCTTAGAAGGCCATTCAGTATGTACTGGTACTACAGACCTTCCTCTCTCTTCCCATTTATGCTCTGGTTCCTGGATGTGAGTGGTTACAGGAGGCCTAGGAGAAGTTAATGCTGCTTCTGAAAAAAAAAAATCAAATCTGAGTGGATTTCTCATTTGAAAGCTGGATAGTCAGCAGGGTTTGACTGAGAGCATATTTGTATTACTGTCAGACCTCTTTAGGAAATAAGAAGAGCCTGTGGGAATCTTAAAGAAAGCAGGAATCTGCAGAGTTGAGAAAACGAAACTCCTTTGGGTCCCTTAACTTTCTGCAAAGAAGCTGGAGAAACACACTGAGCCTAATTCTGCAGCGCTTTCTCTTCTATGATGTCATAAATCAAATCTATCAAGAGTGTAAGATGCGACGTTACGCAGACTGTTGACCAGCTTATTTGAGAGGACTGTTCTGTTCCCTGCATACCTGGTGCTTTTCTCAAAGGAGAGCAGCACAATCCAGTTGTTGGTTTGTGCAGAATGCAATGGCTTTTTCCCTGTAAATACAGCACAGCATAGGATACTGAGATGACACCCCCCAGGCCTGTTTAAGTTGCCTACAAAGCTGCTCAAAATATTTTCATAAAATTTGCAATATATAAACAGCCTTTACCGAACTCTCTGTTCTCTGGAATAGATGGTACATTCTCTCCAGTACATTCTCTCTGTGAAATATTTTTTGACGCAATAGAAAAAACATCAGTAAAGCAAACAGCAGTTACAATATGTCAGTTTTTCCCCCAGAGCTGAGCTTTAAACGTCTGCCCAGAAATCTTAAACACATGAGTTACAAGTATGATAAACCATTTCTCTTATTAAGAGCCCAAATCCATTCCTGGAGTAATTGCAATAGTATTGAACTAGGGCTGAATTCTCAGTGTGCTTTCACGTATTCCTGACACGCTGTCTGCAATTCTGCTTTTCTGCTTCTTGATGGTTTATTGCAAGAAACCATCCGTATGCTTGGAGATATCGCATAAGCTTGTATTATTCTTTTCTCTCTTGGCATTTCAAGCTATATCATCAAAACCTAAAAGTAGACTCTGTTTCCCCAGGAAAAAAAAAAAAAAAAAAAAAAAAAAAAAAAAACTTTAGCATCCAAGAGAAAGATTTTTAAATTCAACAAAAAAAAAAAAAAAAAAGATAAAATAGCTCATAATGAATAAACAGCATGAGCAAAAGATTTTCTAAACATGTCACAAAATGATAGGAAAATAAGTGGGTCGGGAGAGTCTGCAGTAATCTGGCACAGTGACTCAGCCCCAATACGTGTTTCTGTGGTCCAGTTACCAGGAGAAGAATGCTCTAAGCGTTGTCATTCCCATAAGATCCACAAGTGAGGTGACAGCATGAGTCACCTCTGCTGTGCACCATCTGGACTGAGGGGGAGCAGGGCAAGGAAACAGAGGAGACCTCCCGTTCAGCTGTGCCCTGGCAGGTCTCAGAGGCTGTGGAAGATAATGACAGGCAGGGCTTAAAAAAGAAACATTCTGTGCTGGACACAAAAGAAGCGTTTTGTTTTATTTCAACAGAAATTGTTCCAGAACAGTTAAAATTTTCATACAATCATAGAACAGTTAGAGTTGGAATGGACCTTAAAGATCATCTAGCTCCAACCCCCCCTGCCATGGGCAGGGACACCTCCCACTAGAGACCAGGTTACCAGGTTAGCCCCATCCAGCCTGGCCTTGAACACCTCCAGGGATGGGGCATCCACAACTTCTCTGGGCAACTTGTTCCAGTGTCTCACCACCCTTACAGTAAAGAATTTCTTCCTAATATCTAATCTAAATCTACCCTCTTTCATTTTAGAACCATTATGCTTTGTCCTATCACTACATTCCCTGATAGAGTCCCTCCCCACCTCTCCTGCAGGCCCCCTTTTAGTGGAAGGCCGCTATAAGGTCTTCCCAGAGCCTTATTTTCTCCAGGCTGAAGAACCCCAACTCTCTCAGCCTGTCTTCATAGGAGAGGTGCTCCAGCGCTCTGATCATCTCTGCAG